GGTCGGTCGTACGGTCTTGGAGAAGCAGAAAGTGTCAAAAAGAGGGGGGGGGGTACCCTTAATATAAAATGCTCGTCATATAACGTGAACATCTTCAGTGATGTTGGACAAATCGTCAATGATAGTATAATGTTTCTGTTTGTTGTATATGACCATACTGATAAAATGATTTGACCGATGAGGTGTTGTACCGAAATGGTCAGCATCTAAACCATACAGATATGTGATTTCTGTTATTTTTCTAAAGTTTTAGTTAAATAATTCTTACTTTTGATTTTTTTAAACAAATTTCGACAACGATCCATGTTATTAACAATATATTCCTGTAATCTAAGAATCAGATGTGATAGGAATTTTACGCAAATAATCAAACTATGTAGTTCATTTACTTTTTTACCAAGGACTACATAGATACTATTGACCAATAAATAAATCATGAACGAACAGAACTGTCTTAATTTCTACAAAAATGTGATTCCATTTCTTAGTAAAATATTCTCTCTGAAATATTTTCTTTGAAACAAGAGCTTTGCTTCATTTATACAGTTATAACATTCCAGATAACATTGCTTTTATAGTTGTTTAAATTAGACAGAGTTGATAAGATATTAGGATAAAGAGAGTCGAGTTAATTTTTCTCTCCACAATTTCAAGTTTCATTTCTATACAATTATCTTAATCAATTTGTTTTTTGATCTGTAATATTCACCCTTAACGACAAAATAAAGAAAATAAATGTTTCAAAACTAGTCTTAGATCAAGTTTTTTGAAGCTAGATCAGAAATAATATTTAGAACAAGAAGAAAATAAAGTCTCTGAATCGATTATTTATGGTAAATATTATATCGATCTAAGTAAAAGAATAGTTATTTACAATAATTAGATCATTGTCAACATCTTAATTATGAAAAGGCTTTGAAGAAGACATTAACAGCTATATATTTTAAACTTAAATAAAATTCTCTTTATTACTTCAGGTTATGTATAGTATGTTATGTAGTTTTCGTTTTTTCTAGCCTTCTATATTGCAACTTTGACTATTCGATAGTAAAATGAAATGAGATATTATATCAAAAAGTTCAATAATCAATCAATGCATACTTCTATGATAAATATGAATTATTGTACGGGTTTTTCTTGATCGGACACGAGATGTTATTGTTCAAGGTTTCACATTCATACTTTTGATTTCATCAAACAATGCACATACAAACAATTAAGAAACTGCAAAATTCAGAATTGTACAATGCGAGGAAATTTTAGGAGGAAAAAAAATTGTTTAACTTTTTCTTTTTGTTTCCAACTATCGAAATTTTATAATAGTAATATACCTCAAGTTTAGATATAAAAAATACAGGATTATAAAAGAACATAAAACATTCGAATGTTCTACTATTTTCGAAATATGTTACATCAAATGGTTTTCTGCATATTTCTCAATTCTTATACTCGAAGGAAGATCTTTTCAGAACGAAATTCAGTAGAGATTGTTATGGTTTCCATCTAAAAGTAACTTTTATATACATTCTGACGTGCACAACAAGCAACGAGTATTAGTATGATTTAATAAAAAAAAAAAAAAAATATTTGACAAACTATGATTTGATGATAAAATTATTTCGTATTCGGAAAGTTCGACTAGAAGTACATAATTGAGCACTAAAAAATGAAGTCATTCGATTTTTTTGTAAAATTCTAAGACATAAAAAGATTTTGATCTCATTTAACATACAAATCAAAATTCAAAAAAAGGTTTCGCTTTATTTATATTGAAAAATTCTTACGATCTTTTTACAAAAAGAAGTTTAAGTGAAACAAAGAAGAAAAAAAACTATTCGTACTTTCATTATATTATAATCATACGAAAAGTTTATCTTCATCTATTATGTTAGAAACTTCTGTCTGAAAAGAACGAGTATTTGAATTCTGCAGATTACGCAATTATTTCTCATAGAGTTTATCACGGTTAAGTGCCTCATAAATAATAAGAAAATTTAATTTCTCGAGACCGTTGATAAGTATATGTGACATTTCAATGAGTCAATCGGCAATACTATGCAGTGTTATTACTTGCAAATGAGGCAGTCATTCGACAAATAAATAGACAATCTTTATCAAATTTGGTAGATTCCAAGAGGTAAAAAGATTGAGTTGTAGCAAGCCATTTGATATAACCATATTGCACAAAGAAACATCGTTAAAAAGATCGATAAAATATTTCTCTTTGAAATCAAATTCAATTCGATATTTTGATATATAATGTTGCTTCCGGTAATGACATTACAGTTTCCATAAACCACTTAACATCAAACGAATATAAGCATTCACCGGAAAGCATTGATAGTAAATTGTGAAGAACATGATGACCAACCATCTCCGTCAATAATCTGAACTTCATCAATGAAAATAAAACATTACGTTCAAATAATTGATTTCACAGTAATGATACATTCATTCCAATTTATGTTCAGACGAC